ACCAACCAACAAGCCAAAGAACTTTGCCAGTAAACTATACACTCACCGATTCTAGCACAGCTATTCCACTACTGCCCGATCGTTCTTGGTATGGATGCGTCACCAACAAGCCAAAGAACTTTGCCAGTAAACTATACACTCACCGATTCTAGCACAGCTATTCCACTACTGCCCGATCGTTCTCGCCTGGTATGGATCGACCCACTTGCCCAAGAAGGCAGCTGATCACGTCCCGGACATCATGGACCAATCAGGTGCACGAGTGTGGCAGACAGCTGTCGGCTTGTTATTTGATTGTGAAAGCGCTGCTGTTGCCACCTTCCCTGTCTGTCTATCCTGTTGTCGTCAACACTCGTCTTATCAGACTGGACGAGTTGCTGCGCCAACATGCCTCGAGGCCTGGCGGTTACGTGACGAAAATGAAAAAAACAAATACCGTACATTCTGTGTGGCAGGAATCTCACTTGTGGGTTTTCGCTGGACGTCAGTCATCCATTTATGTAAAGCTAGCCGTCTCCAAATTCAATCGGTTTCGACGTGACCTACTCAGAAAGTTCCTGCTGACCAACAGCTCATGCTTTCCCTATTTCCATCACTGACCATATACCATAGGATGTCATATCATAGGGGTACTGTGGTTCACGCAGTTCGTCCCTCCAAAAACGGGGCCACTTCCTAAAGGACCAATTGTCCAGACCCGGCGAACTTTGCTATTAGATTGACGGGCAAAATGACAGTCCCAGAGAGGGACCTGATAAACTGAGCAATTCAGGTCTTGCTTCAACATCGACGTGATTTTTCCGAAACGCGAACACAATTTGACATGAGATTAATTTCTGTTAAGTGCAAAGGAATGTCCGAAAAGTCAACTCAGCTCCACTGATCAGCTCCTTTGAGTATATCTCACGCTGCCAAATATGACTGAAAACTGAGGTTTGAGTTTTGGGTCGGTGGCAAAGAGCACGAACTCAGCTGCGATTGGTTTAGATTTCCTGGTCAGCGTTAAAATGTTTCAGCCCAGCTATTCAGTTGTGTAGCTGTAAAGTCCAGTTCCTTATATGATAATGTTATGCAAAATGCGACATTTGCACCCCTCAAATGAGAAATCACAATTGTTTAGCTCACTTGAAGATAGGCCACCGATCAAAGTACGCTTTGCGAAACACACATCTGTTGATCATTCGCACCTCAGCTTGCGTACCCAAAATCGCACCCATGAACGCAAAATCAATTATTCTGCCCCAAAAGCTCTTAACAGCTCTATTTGAGCCCAGTGCCTTTCACGAAGTTCTGTTTTGGACAGCGTTTCCTTGCTAAAAATTCGGTAAAAATGGGAATTCCAATGGCCGATCCATTACTCGATAGTCTATCTCTAAGACAACTTTAGTATTTCTAACGTGGAAGAATATCAAAATATGGGTGATCCAAGTTAAATTCATCCCATTTGGATCTCAAAATAAGTATTTTAGTGGTAAGCATAACTACAAGGCGAAATCTAATTTTCTTGCTTGGGTTATGTGGAACCGGGAATGTGATGATTAAGTTGTAGGACACACTGACTTATACCTTCGTTCTCCATATGACGGTAAATCTGAGAACGACCGATCAAGCAGCCCAAAGGGAGGGAACGCAGTGAACAACAGCTGGCCGGTTTAACAACCACTGGAAAAGTGGTCCAGTATCCGCTTCGAAAGAATTTCACGGAAGAACTGAGCGTTGGGGCCACCACTAGCATCCAATGATCATTGCCCATTATGCGGGACTTATATTCCAAACAACATCAACCAAGAATAATGATAGCTCAGTTGTAACAGAATTTGAATGCCCATCTACTGTACCAACCAAGGAGGTACGAGGTCTAGGATATTACAAGCTTGTCCAAACCTAGCCAGGAGTAGTCACGATGCTGAGGCTGGGTTCGAACCACGGGCCTTCCGGTCAGTTAGATCATGCCTGAAGCACTTAGCCATGCCGGCTCCTAAACAATATCAAGTAAAGAAAATATAATAATTGAAATATAAACAAAACTCTTTTCTCGTATATTTGACCTTAGGACTCTCTTGCTGCCACATATAGCGAGAGACTTCGTTACTTTCCGCGAAAAGGAATGTATTTCAGAAGAGGTCACTTTGACCAGGTCCTGCAAGGTTGAGCTACTTGGTCGCGTACATTGATCGAATGATCTTCGACAAACGGAAACCCTGAGATCAAATAGAGTTATGGAGCGTGCGATTGTCCTTTTTGCTATTTTGCCCAGATATTCAACGGAGTAGGTGACAAGCCCAGACGACAAACGGATATGGCAAGTCTAGGAAGGGAGGATTCGGCCACTAACCATGCTGTAGTTTGACCAGATTGTAATAAGATTGAAACAACAAACAGCTTAGTTCAGTAACTTTGGGTGTTCGCTTTTGATGCCTTTTTTATAGCATGTGGAAGATGTAGAAATTGTTGAGTGTGATGAAGCTTTAAGTCATCGAAAAATTGACTAACTAACCACAAACAAATCGACGGAAGCGCTTTTCGATGCTTTACGGGGAGACAACGTCCTGTGGGTGGAACCATTATATGCTGAAAAACCGAAAAGCAGAGCATATCTGTCTCACCATCATCATGGGCAGTACATTGGACACTTTGCTGTTCTGTAACAGTCCGCTTATCATCAGTTTTGTTAATCCTACCAAGGCGAAATACAGAGCTGCTCACTCTAACTCATACTAACCGGCATGTCACCGGTTTCATGATATACACACTGCTGATGATTCTCAATAGGGATATAACCGCTGCACAGTGCTCCTGGGCTTTTCAGAGATGATTCAGTCCTCTGACAGAACGGAGTCCCTCGTAAAAATGACCAAAACTCCCCACAAAACCGTCAAAGTGTAGAAGGTACTAATGTTCTGTACTTGATAATTGGTATATCTGTATGGATCGATGACTTGCATACAACAAAAATTTGAAGGAACAAGGCGAATGAGGAACTTTTAGGAGAAATTAAATCACTAATAAGTCATAGATGATTGCAGCAAGAAGGAAAGTAATTGCAGAGAGCAATAAGCAGATCCCTGAGGAACTAGCATCTACACGGGGACAGAACAGCTGATGTTAAACCAACTAATTTCACGAAATAATTCGGTGAAACACCGCATTGAGAATACAACGAAAATGAATGTGTTGATCTAAAAAAACAACTGGAAAATGTTAACATGCCACTTTCTTGATGAGGAAGTCAGAAGCGTCAATTGTTGTTCCCGCTGAACCGGGCTTATTGTCCACGGAAGCTAGTTCCTTGTTACTGATTGGTACACGACGGCTTGACATAGCTTTGCCGGATATTTGAGTTTGTGGTAGGTGTTGCAATCCAGGTAGTTTGGGTCCATGTACCCACCGCTCTCTTGTGTGCTCGACAGATTTTCCGAACTGATCACCGTTGGGATACCGAGGTGCGATTCGAACGGATTTACCCTCTAATCCGGTTTCTGCCGGTCTTAATCCAGAGGATTCCTGGCTTGGAATTCGGTGAGTTCCTTTTGTAGGTGAGTGCGGATACATTGGTGGGGATGTGGATTCTTCTGCTTTATTGTAGGAACTAAGAACATCTGAAAGGGATAAAAAAACTGCGATCTGACTGCGAAGTGTTGAATATATCTGGATAAATGTTAACTTTGAATCCAGTCTTGGTATGGGTTTCTCTCTGAAAGAGTTTTAATGGGTATTGCATGCATTTGAAAGCAACTACTTACTGTGTGTTTGCCTTCCATATACTGAACAATGACGACCAGGTGCAATGTATGTTCTTTCGCGGGACTCGCATAATTAAACACTAGGGAATACTGTTCGGTATAAACAAACGCTCTGTCCTAAAATGCCACGCCCTTTCGATTTAACACTTCTAATGGCATGCAGTGACCGGTCTATGTGTCCGTGTTCTACACCGTGCTCCTCGCTGGCGCGTAAAACCTGTTTTCGGATTACGGTCAGCCGTGTCCAGAAAGAACAGCAAGTATTTCGGAAACCTTTCCAAAAAGATCAGTATCCGTCGTATGAGGCAATGACTAACCATGCTAGAAGGAAATAACTGAACTTTTGGATACAACGCCTGACAATCAAGAATGCCATGCCCGATTACAGCAAGCATTCCCTCGGACAGTTTTCAGAGTCGGCCGTGAATTATAACCATCTGTTTTAGCTGGTCGTTAGGGAAGTAATTCAAATCTAATGACTATGCTGCAGGTTTATACACCTCTTCCTGTAAGGCATCGCTAAGCTAGAACAAATGAGGAAGCCAAGCTATTTTTCTGCATACTGAGAACACCCTACGGTCTAAACCATTCTGAAAACATATTCACTCAAAATGTCACTAGCCCATCAAGTTCTGTACACCAAGAATCATCCAATCACTGTACGGTTTCGGCAATCTACTCCGCGGACATCTTCAAGTGTTTACCAACGGATTTTCGCCCTCTAGCTTAGTAATGGGCTAACAATAACGACATTCACAACTTTTGGCTCACGGTCATCCAGAGCGCAATGGGAAACTCACTACTGGGCTCTGGGACTCTCAGAATTTTGAGCAGAATTACTGAAAATTATTGTACGTAACTCTTAAGTGCTATATATAGCACACATGCACGCAGGCGAACTTGTGCAACATCGGTAGTAAAACAGTGATGAGTGCTTTATACTGCTATTATTAAACATGGGAGTTTCAACAAATATCTGCATTATTGCCAACAGACATCATCATTCTGAATTTACATCTTATTCCATTAACTGCACGAAACGTCCGTCTAAGGATAAAGGAGTCTGTTTCAAAGGATTGCTACCTGCATGGTCATACACTAACTCGAGTTCAAATGCGGAATGCAGTACCAAGGTCACAATGTTACTCTAATCTATGTCCAAGTATAAGTTAGTTTAGTTTTCGGCTTCCGTCAATCGTGTAGTTTGAACTTATTATCAGATCTCATAGAAGATGCAAATATTTCCACATAACTGTGAATCTCATCATTTGTGTATTCTCCAATATGTACCCTGCTTTCTCCATCCATGCAATCGCTGGTCACCCTATTTCAACGTGACATAACACACCGAATTGCTGATAAGCAAATTGATATGGAATACTTTTCTAACTACTGACTTAGGACACCTTCGCCCCTTCCTTCCTACCTTCGCCTTCTCCCCTCAAATTTGAGTAACCTGTTGAGAAGTTAAAGAAATCTAGAAGTCTTTTCGAAATGTACTCACCTGATCATTACTTTCGTGTTAGGAGGATCTTTACAGGGTCTCTTGTTCATGATATCGTTGAACTAAATCTACTGTACCAGTTACATAATCGTTTGCCTGAGGGACCACCGAGGAATGATGCAATCTACGCTAGGCCACCGGAACTAAAAGCGTCATTTGTGAGGTATTATACATGGTAAGGTACTGAACGTCTTTCCCTAAGAAAACTGCAATATGGAGCTTCGTAGCGGTGCAGCGAAAAGCTCTAGATGAACGTCAAAAACTTCAGCCCTGACGGTGTGCAGCTGAAATAACTAACATTTTTGAGCACTTATTGGAACACCATAGATGCAGTCATTGCGTGTTTTTAGGATAAGCTTATCTCTTCATATGAGCTGAAAAGACCCTTTTCTCAGTTATCAGTATTAAGCAGTTTGGCGTGTGGAAAAACTACATGAATAAAATTGGTCTCAGAGACACCATCCTTCCTCTGCTGGGTCAAATCATTGCACTGACTAGAAATGCGGTGAGCTTATCGCAGTTGACTCCTTTACTTTGTGGACGGACAGCAATTCTTGTTATTTGACGTTACGCATGCCCATTGTCTTTTCAGTTGTGATTGACCCACATTTCTTCACTCATGCACATTACCCAGTGCCTCTGTTCTGAATTGCAACATTTTACCTAAGTTGATTTTAGATAAATTCTAATTGCCATGCACTGGGCTATTCGATTTTTCCGGGAGCTGGTTGGTTTTCAACCTATTTAGCATCGAAATGGAGCATTCCATGTGACGCAATATAATTATATTCTTGTTGACTTGCTTTGCAACTGTACCAAAAATATTTCGGGAGTAGAATAGACATTGATAATAATTATCGGTTAAAAACAGCTGATTCATGGGGCTGCGTGAACACGACTAGAGACGTGATTTCACCTGCTGCTGAACAATGGATGGTGCGCACGAAAAGCCAGAAATCCCGGGTTTATCGTTCAAATCCTAGCGGTCGGCACGTGCTAATTCTGATAGCAGGACACTCGTACCACCTACATATGGTTTACTGTTAACAAGGATGGTTCAAAAATTAACTTACGGTCCCATGGGTTATTGGTAACAAGTAGCACGTTGTTTGCCACCAGACCAACTTCTAGGTTTATATAAATAGTGCATCATCAGCTCTGCCGCCTGTAACCTGTACGCCTTGACAGACAAAGTCTCTCAGTGACAACCTCATTAACCGTAAAGAAACTACTCTGATAGATGTTGGGTGTATCTGTATGCACGAAACGTATTGGAAACGGCCCCAACAACACGCACAACTTGTTTACGCGGTAGCATAACCAACAGCTAAACAGTAACTAAAGGCTAAACGATTAAAACCACTTCCAGATGAATACATTGACAGTGTTCCAAAATCAGAGTCAGCGGTGCAATAAACTAAACATGGGAGCTATCATACTGAGCATCCTCACCCCAGGTTCGAAAATGTGAGATTGTTTAGTTTACTCATTCTCTATGGCCATATTGTTTAGAATGGATATGTCACAAGCAATACAAAGATTGTTGCCAATTTTTGAGCACTCGTAAAACCTCTCACCGATGTTCTCGGCTCCTTAGGGGCATTTGGGTTTCACGCTCATGTATGTATGACCATGGGATGAGTGTATGGAGAAGGCATATATGTTTGCTGTGGCACGGCTTTCATATTACGTTGATCTTCTGTCTGATGCATACAGGCTGAGAGGCGCTTTGCATAACTGAGACGCATGACCTGGCCGGGCAGCCAACATCAACAAAATCAACTGATCAGTGGAAAACAAAAACAAAAATGGAGAGCATGACCTGGCCGGGCAGCCAACATCAACAAAATCAACTGATCAGTGGAAAACAAAAACAAAAAATGGAGAAACTGTCATTGCTATGTCATATGCTACATACATCAGATGATTCGACCCGAAGTTAGTAGTTTAGCAGTTGCTTCATGCCTTCCGATACTCCTTGGAATTACTGTGTAAGGGGATTTCGCCTATGCTGAGTATTACTCCGATAGCCCAATACCACTGTATAAGGTAGCACTAGTTAATCGTTTTGTTGGGACGACCGATGGTATCCCGAGGACAGTGCGATACTCATTCAAAAATTAAGTGGATTATTCAGTTATGCTGCCATCTAATGTTGAGACGCTGGCGCATATTCATGACCACCTTACTTGGGTAGCCGGATAAAAAACTTTTCTTTGGAGACATTTCAGTCAGGATTAATCAGCCACTTCTGTGATGTAGCCTAAACTGAAAGACTGAGAAATGTTAGGCCATAAGCCTTTGGTTCGTTTCGATCGAGATCAAATATGGGGTAGAAAAATTGTTCTGCGTGGGCCATTTGCTTTGTTTTAAATGGTGCATTTATATCACACTGCACCTGAAAGACAACCTTCTATTCGACGTCAACCAACCGTTTGCCAGGGTGCCTTTGATCACAGAACCGATAATCCTTTGATAAATGAAATGAGTAACATCTATTGACCGCAATGAGTTGTGACAAGCAGCACTTAAAATTCCTGTTGTTAGTTTGAACTAACCTTCCCCCTGATTAGTAGTTACATTAAGATCATTGTCGGACGAGTTACAACCAGCAGCGCATTTGGACAACTCCCCCGACGGTCGTTTGTTCTCAGGTGCATCATCTACTTGAAGTTGCAATGGTGGAAGCTCCGGGGCGGGTAGACAGGGGGCGTAGGCAAGCGCAGCCGATAAAGAGAACTTGTCTCCCCCTGCACCACATCCCATTGAAGGTGGTGGTGGCAGCTTGGTCGATTCCTCAGCCATCCTACTTCGAAAACTGGCGCAGCTTGTTGAAAAACGGAACGCACGAGCTGCCTCTTCATGTAGTGTGCGCTGCACGTCAAAGAAACGAAGTGGAGGAGAATAAATGAACGCGCTAACCAAATTTTGTTAAACAGTTGAGCGTTCTAAGTTCTAATACGTACTGAAAAATTGTCTACAAATAGTGGGAAAACTGTTCACAAGCCAGTTCTATCCCCAAAGCCTCAGACTGAAATATTCTGTTCTAGGAAACTCTTAAAACCCAGGTCCCTAGTAAATTTTCCCCAATAAACGCTGATTTTGGTTTGTCGTTTAGGCCGGTCTTTCAAGATAAAGCAACTGAAAGCAGCAGGCCTAGACAGCCCTGATTCACTTCAAAAATCGAATTTATGTTGTCGAAGCATGTTTTTAGACATTTTAGCAAGATAGTATCAGATAGAACATGTTCTAGGAAACTCTTAAAACCCAGGTCCCTAGTAAATTTTCCCCAATAAACGCTGATTTTGGTTTGTCGTTTAGGCCGGTCTTTCAAGATAAAGCAACTGAAAGCAGCAGGCCTAGACAGCCCTGATTCACTTCAAAAATCGAATTTATGTTGTCGAAGCATGTTTTTAGACATTTTAGCAAGATAGTATGAGATAGAACAGGCACATTGATCGCATCCAAAAAGACTCCCGGACTTGGCGAGAGAGCGTCGCACGCAGCTACCGACTGTCAGTTCTGAACAATAACTGTTGCTGGGCTGACTGAGTGCACGGTACCGAATATCTGAGATGAGAGCTACTGTTAGTGAGTGTATGGAAGAGGAACCATCGCATGACAGGTCTTTGGGTGAAACCTCAGCAAGATAAAGGAACTAAAGATAAACCAATATTTATCGAGTTCCGGGTGAATTTAACTGATTTATTGTAGTGGCAGTCGTATTGGTTCGTGGAATAAACCAAGGCTTGCTGCCATATTAGGCCTCTATGCTACTGATGTTGAGGTTTCGGTCTACAAATTGTGCACCATTCCACATAGAGTATCTGCTTTGAACCGCTTTGAATTGGAGATTTCCAGTGATCTATGGTTGTCCATCATTTGTATGCAGGTTAAATGGCATTGGCTGTCCATTTCTACCAATCTTGACTTTCCTGACGAAAGACAACTTGGCGGGCTCCCAGTGCGCAATCAAAAAAGCTTCTTTGGGAATAAGTCTCCAGGGTATCTAGTTACACTCTGCAACTCCGCAACTTCTGTTCTGTAACTCTAGAATTATTCTTACCAGAAGTGGACTGACTCTAAACAAAAAGGGGTAATTTGGTTTATGGGTGTCTCGCTAATGGGTCGCGCTTTTACAACCACACAAATACTGTGTAACTCAGGGAAATTTTTCAGAAATAATACACCGTCCAATGAATTCAGTAACAGATTCCATCGAAATGACTACATTCGCCTCTTCTGTTTCTTCAATCAATTCTGTCTTTCACTCTTATCTACTTTCAGATATCAGGCTGTTCCTGAGTGTGTGGATCTGCTGGACAAAGAGTTTGTACAGAGAGACAGATGCTGATTCGAGAAGTATGTGCTAGAAGAGCATTTATTACAGTAAACCTTCAACAGTTTTTAAATTATGCGTACGGAGTGTCTTAACATAGGAATTTAGCTGGACTAGATGCCTTCTACTTACAATGCGCTGCATCGCGCTTTAGACGTTATCTACACTAGTGCAGCTAAAGACAAAACTGGTCTACGAAAGCATGCAATGAAACAGACTGTTATAGAAGCTCACCTTGGTATTCGGCATGCGTTCGTATGCGTCGTAAATGAATTCAAAGAGGCTGACAATTAAGGCAGCACCCATTCCAATGAGCAGCATAACGAAGCATCCGCTCACTTTGTCCACGTCCAGCGAACTGGTATCCGACACCTTGTTCTGCTTGGCATCGCATGTCACATTGATGTCCATTTCTTGCCACCAGCGGAATTTCAGTTTGTGTATTGTTTGGCTATGTTGTAGTTTCAAAATGGTTTCGGAAATGGGGTCCCTGTATTTTGATCCTTCGAAGGAGAACACAGAGCAGTTAAGGATAGGTAGCGTGAAACAGATGGATGGTAGCTTGTGCTTGATTATCCTGCAATTCCGAAATAAGACCTTCTACAACTTCATTCAAAACCCAAACAGTGATCTCTCAGTCTCCATACCATCTTAGTAACATCTCGTGATTTCAGGCGAAAACGTCTGAACAATCAAGGATGAGCAAACCAATTGCTGGGGCACTCTGGTTTACATGAAATTGACAGTCTTTTCACAGCAACGACTGAATAAACCCACCTTCTGGCAATCCGATTCCATATCCCTTTGAATCCAGCAGTCCACCTACTTGTATGAGCTCACAGTCTCTTTGGGTATAATATTCGTTCATTGTGGATTCCAAAATGAATGCGTATTCCTCCCGTTTCACTCGACGTATAGCATCCTCTGTGCTGTTCATCAGTACGCCCTTCTGAGAGCTCATGAACTGCCACATGCGTTTATAAACAGGAAACTTGGAATGCTAAATGGAAACGGTATAAATAAAGCGGATTAATTAAGTGCTTTGGAATACAAATTGGCGTATAAACAAATTATACGGCATTTTATTCGGAGGCATATGGAAACTTTTCTGAAGTTTTGAGGGATATGTATTGCTCATATTCACACCACTCCCTTCTGAACGGTTGTTCACCTGTTCTGGTATAATTATTCTGGTGAGTCTACACCGAAAAGGTTACCCAGTGGGTTTCAAGCGTCTGTCTACACCGAAAAGGTTACCCAGTGGGTTTCAAGCGTCTGTGACGCTACCTGACTGGTAAGTCCTGACTGGCGGGTCAGTCGATCGTTTCAACCAAGACAACTATTGGCAATCGTTCGATGAGTCAAGCACACCAATCACATCCCTCAAGCGGGAATATGTTCACCTGTTCAGACGTGAAAATCCCGGCCGTTGAATACACACTGCTTCCCTCTGGATAGTTACGCCAGAGCAGGAGGACGACAGTTCACATGAAAGTGGTGTGAATATGAACATATGGAATCGGTAGAAATGAAAGGAATACCTTAAGATAACGAGGTCCAGTTTGACTTAACTATGTCGCTGTCACGGACACGAGTCTAGTGTGGCCAGTTGACTGCGTTTCGACCAGAAAATGAGGCTTCTGGACTCCAGTACCATTAGTTCATGACTGTTTAATCCAACCAGTAGATTCTGTCGCCTTACAAATGTTGATATTTTATTCATTTCCCAGAACCAGCTGGATGAAACGCAAACATCTCGGCTAGACATCATTCACCATTGTGTAATAACTAGACAATCACATGATCTCGACAAAGGACAACCAACTCCAGGTCTGTGGGATGTGCGTGCGGACGGAATGCGATCTTGTCATATGCTTGGTCTGTTGATGTCACCGAATGTCTGAATTTGTCTGGCTCCCGATTCGGCATGTTCATCTAAAAAATACTGTATTATTCTATCTCGCTTGCTAGTAAACTACAATCGATGAGAACCGGAATAATTATTGAGGAAAATTTCCGATTAATGCCTCAAAAGGAGGTGATATAAATTAGCCTTCCCGAGTTTATTTCAAACAAAATCTATGTGGCAGATTTTGGAACAGTAAGATTGAATCCGGCCATTCTGACTTAATCCCGTTTCTGTAAAGTGTTGCACACTGATCAGAAACTCAGCATTTAATGCAAAGAAAGCCTTGCTTGCATGGACCTATTACCCTATTCATAAGGTTGCTAAAACTCTTCGACAGCCCATGACCACCTTCGCCCTTCTAAAGTTTATCGGGTTGGCGCAGTCCCCGAGTTTCTATCAACTTTATGTTCTAATTAGCCCAAATCGCAGGAAATTCGACTCACTCATTCGCACACTAATTCGGTCACTGATAGTCTGAAGTTGATTATTTGTGGCGACCGTCAGCTTGCAGTCCTATAAACACATTAAAAGCCTTTGGAGTGACCAAATGGAGGTCACAACAAAGCAGGAGACTCGACAGATGAAATTTAAGGTACTGTCGACCCGATAATTTATTGGTTTTCTGTGAGGCTAATCAAGATGGGTTACAAGAAACAAGGTTCACTTAAAGGAACATATGCTAGAAGCTTCAGAGGAATACTGGGTATATTCAGCATAGCTGTTCGTGGAAATGCTGTCCACCAGTTACGGTAGTTGCTCTGGTAAGAAATATGTAATCGGCCGTTCAGTAAATTTACATTGATTCCAGACTGAACAAAGTATATAGCTATTGGACTGGGAACTTTTATTCTTCATATAGGACGGAACATTTTTAAAACCGGCCTTCGGTCAACTTTCAACTGCTTTTTTGATGAACCTCTACCCCACTGAGTTTTGTGCAGGTGATTCGGGTTGGTATTTATCATACGTGCGTACACTTATCGTAACTCACTCTTAAGGTCCCTCTTGTCCACACAACTGTGTACTCCTCGACCGTTAGATGGAATATTTACGACGGTATCGCGGCATCCATGAGCGCTGGACAACCCAGGATTTTTTTATATTCTTGTTTGTTTTTCCATAACTTTCAAGGCAAAACCCATATTTCTGTAGAGCACCTCTGGTAATGTGCTAACATATGATGTACATAAGCTGGCACGAGGTAATACTGTATGCGAAGTTTCTATGAAAACTTTTCCTTCCATCCACACTGATCTAATATATAGGTTTATTTTTTGAAGCAGTAGTAAATTTACGATCCCATCCTAAGGCAGTGTTAGCCCTTGGGCTTTTATGGGAAATAATGATAGCATACCATCTTGACAAACCATAGACGGCTTTAAATGACGTCGGCCGATTTTCGATACGTCAGGTTTCCTGTTTTTAAGTCCCATTTTTTGTAACTTTTTATTTGCTGATGTAATGCCTTCATGTGCAAAATAATTTAGTTAGAATAGGGGACTCAACTGAGTCCCACTCTCAATTGAGCTTTACTAAGGCTTCCTCGTGTTTCAGCTGGTAGCATTCTCGAGATATTGCTGATTTTTTTGGAACACACAACTCATAAGATTGCTTGTGGCAGACCATGAAAGGTATTGTTCTTCTTGAAGTACAGGCAGGAACAGTTTCCAAATTTTTATCAAGCTTCTATTTTGCGCGAATCAAGGTCGTACGTCGTTTGCAAATGAACTCGGTTTTAAATGAGGGCTCAGCTAAATCCCAGCTGAATATCTTGTTAATACTGTTCTTCAGTTATTGGTTTGGTTTATATATATCTGATGTCCAACCTTATTGTGAGCGGCAACAACGCAGCAAAGCAAGAAATTCCTACTTGGAAAAAAGCTGCCGTAGATCCGCCTTGAGTCGTGCCGTATTTGATCTTCGTTTGTTTCGCCAAATCCTCAGCGTTCTCAATTGGAGATTCCATCCTGGCGACAGTGAGATAGGCAGCCAAGTTTGCCGTGTATGATGAGATTACGATGAGGGTGAAAAACCACCAGAAACCAGCAATGATTCGGGTGGACATTGCATGTGGTACGACATCTGACCCTTGGAAAATAAGCAGAAGTTGAGGGATATACATGCATTGAAGTGGTTTGCGACAAAAATGACTTGGAGAAAAGTTGGCCCTACTGCAAATGATGCATCCAAATGTGATCGCACATCCGAAGATATCAAATACTACACAACATTCGTGCTCTGAAAAGAGGGAATCAATGGACAGAGAAAGAATTTGTGTAGCACCAGCTTGACTTCATCGGGTCAGAATAACGGAGGTTATTATTAATTCTGTGATAAGCTAACGGCATTTTCAGATTCTAACGCAAAGCAGAAAATGAATAAATTTGGGAGTAATCTGATAATATTCACAAGGTTGTAACAAGCCACACTCTTTCTGAAATGCTCAGGTTCTCATTCACCTATAAGCACACACGGCTTGAACTTACTATAATTTTGGCAAAATAACTTAGGAAACATATTACGTAAAGCCGAGCTGGTAACGTCGGTGAACACTCGGTTTTAACATAAATTTGGAATGAACAGAACATAAGCTGCAAAACTGACAGCTATTGGTGGTCCCAATGTAACAGTCTTCGGGTTTATCAAGGAAGCGTTGCACCTCCTAACACATCCAGAACGATCGAAAAATCACCATAATCAGGAATTCTCTTCTGTTCGTAGAAGTGTTCAAAACTGTATAAAGCACACCAACATGCGAAGCAGCTGCGGTTTCTTCCATGACAGATATTGTGATACTCGAGTACATGATCGAATAAATTTACATAATACTAGTGGTATCTTATAAACCAGAACATGAGCGAGTCCCATTTAACTCGAGCTAATCTTCATTTCCAAGAACGCATGGTGGAAATCCAGTCGACTGTAGGACTTTTCGTTCATTGCTTTTATCCTTCAGAGTTCGGTAGAAGCCGCTGGCAGTTTACTCCCGCGGACCATATTTGTCATCTGGCCGTTTGTGGCATAACGTCAACGAAACCCTCGTAGTTGGTCTCTTAAATACATTTTAAGCTGCCTCCTTAGCAGAAGAAACAGTCTCTTTCAAAAGAACTATAAAGATTCAAATTGAATGAAGTCATTTTAATGGCTCACTTAAGAGCGTTGTCCTTCAAATAAGTGGGTTCTTTCTGAAACGTGGAATCGATCGGAAAACAGTATTTCAAATCGCTTTTCAGAAGAATAACGTACTGGATTGATGGACATATGGGTTTGATCATTTAGTGTATCTTACACGGGTGATTGCGAAAAGGATTATCCGCTGATAGTAATTGGAGAGCACTCTGGAACAGAGGGCTTAAAGCTCGGTCTTTGTACACCTCAGACAGTCATTCGGATACGGTGGGGATAAAATTGACATTTTATGGCAGCTTGGTCATATGACGTTCAGTGTTCTTTCTGATAGGCTTTACAAGGAACATTTTAGGGTGTGGAATCCTCTGTTCTCAGGAGGTATACGAGCCTGGGAGGTTCGGCCTGAGAAGAGACTACTGTGACATCACACTTATCGATAAATCCTCCAATAGTTAGCAGATGAGTGATTTAGGACAGCCCAATTCATTTCATGTTAGCACGTTGTCTGGCTCTTGTTTGGTTTAGGACCGTAACGCAGTGAACCTATGGGGTTTGATGCACCATAGCCTCGGTCTTTTCTTAGATTTTCCCATTGCGTAGCCTTAAACCCTCAGAGGCCGGTTCACCGCTCTTGCTCGGTCAGTCACAGAAAAAAGGCGGATCATCCTCTGAGCCGGTCAAGCCTAAAAGGGGCCCTGAGTTGGATTCAATGTGCTGGAAGGCTGGTTCATTCGGGCTCGCTTCTCACGCTGGGCCACTATACGGGGCAGCATCTTAGTGAAATCACCCTAGAGCTGGTCTTTGAGCTTGGCTCCGTAGTTTGCTTACCGGGCATGCCCACGTTCCCTTACGTTCCAGTCGGAGCGGAACAGAGACGGTAAACATTCTCATTTGACTGAGGGGTGGAAGCCACCATGACGTTTGGGCTGTTTGACTTTCCGGATGGCAGAGCCAACAGCGATCCCGTTGACCGGGGAAGAGGAGTCACTACTCGTGGCTTTGCTTCACCAGACTGGACGAGATGTTCCCCGGACAGCTCACAGCTCCAGTGTGAGCTTGTAGCTACCCCGTCACCCACAGCTCATAGTCGCTCACTGGATCACGAGACTTGTCTCTTTTCCCACTCACAAACCACGTCACATCACATCACCGGTTGTCTGTACCTTCTAGTGAGCGTACCAACAGTTCATGTGCTGACACACCCACGTACACACAAACGGACCTACATTTGGGGGAGCCGAATACAGTCAGCACACAGACTCCGCGCGCACAGGGAGCCGGAAGTCAATCACTCTTCACAAGCCCACGGACAATTATGGAACACGCGTAGCAGCCATACTGCGGAGAAAACACATTCCTGCCGTCCGGACTTTCGTCAAGGAACTCTCACAGACGATAAGTTCCTCTTTTGACTTGCTCCCGTTTCGCGTTACATTTATTTTTATACGTGTTGCAATCCACCACTGTAAACCATAGTGAGGGCTTTTATTAGTGTATATACCTTCTGAGTTGTATTATGGTCATCATCAACAGTGCACTAATTAGCTATTCAGACATAGTCACGATTACCAGACCATAAGTTAGGGCATCGATTCAGAGGCTTGACCGAAAGAAGGTGACCTGAGCATCCCAAGCCTTTTCTACACAGCACTACAGGTCCGAAAATTGTGGGGAAATCGGAGACATCGTGAATCTATGGGAATTCGGAACCTTGCTTGTAAATGCCAAACATTAATCTTGTCACTGTGGTCGGTTCTCAGAAAAGAATAGTTTGATCCAATCGAATATAGGGCTGTTTAGAAGCCGAACAAAGCAGATTCCAGGGGAAGTATTTTGGTTCCTCGTTTGTAGACAGAATGGTGTGAAATGCTCATGGATTCTAGCTGGACTTCATCCATTTCAAATATTTGGGCTTGAGAAAGACCAGCGGAAGTCACTCCATGTTGATCTGTTAGTGGTCCGAAGTTAATATCTTGCATCGGAATTTTCAGAAATAGATTGACGAGTATTTGATTAGCATCTCGCTTTGTTCCCAGTGGGTAAAAAATGAGTCTATCTTTACAATCCGCTCGCAAAACATACGACCGTTTTATGAAATAGCTGATATAGCTATATGAACAACCTTACATAAGCTTGTTAATCGTGTTCAACTGGCACGCCGGAAACTTCTTTGGAAAACGGGGGTTTCCATCCGTGGTACACCAGTTCAAGCCCATTTGCCGATTAAGTAACCAAATTTTGGGAACTTTCACCAGTAGTTTTCAGTCGATATTTCGAATGCTACTTACCTTGAGTGTTTCCGGTTCCAGAAGTATTACGGCTGAAATAAACAGACTGTGCTGCTGTGAGGTGATAGATTTCCTGGTGCGCCCTTGTTGAAAACGGCTTAAAACTGGTGTTTATTTTATCTCATTTAGGTTAAGAGTTGACTCCAGGTACTAGTGATACTTCTTTTCGATGCAGTCCCGTACACCTTGGCCGCAACAAATAAGGACATCACTCTGGGAATATGTTGCCTTTGTTCATCCCGGTAAGGTCAAATTCAACTGTTTGATACATGTCAGACCACCACTCTCCACGTTGGTGCGTTATTTACACAAACGCAAACGAGTTGTTAATTATTTTCACTTCTACCCGGGGTGCATTTTGACAGCAGTCTGCTTCAAAAATTGATTCTGAATGCGGACCGAAGGTTGGTCGCCCATAGCATTGAAATTTAACGGAATCGTCAAGGGACTAGTGAGTGGTGATCAGTTTTGAGGAGGGCTATCCCCGGGGATGGTTCCTCACAGAGCATGACAGCCATACTTCCACTTTCATGTTTAGTCTACTACACTATCCTGTCTATACGAATACATTGTTTTCTATTCACCAACAGCTCTACGAGGCGTGGTGTACCATGTGCAATATCAAGTGAAAAATCTATTCCGCGGAGTTAACTTGAAGTTGAAGATCACACGCTTTAGGTTTAAATGCATGTGGGTTCTTTGATTTTGTTTGAATCATAGCACTAAGCCTATGTACATGCACGTGTAAATCCAATTCAAAATAACAAACCTTATCTCATCTAACCAATCAGTGATCCAGCCACTGATACGTTCGCCACAGAAAAAAGCTGCGAACCGAATTAACTTGCATTAGCCTATGTTTACCTCCAGCTTGAATCGCTCCTCTGGGCTCCAGCGAAAAGCAACCACAGGTATCGTTCTGGGTAAGCTTCAACTGTTAGACGATTGAGAATGTTCACCAATTTTTACTCACATGAACTTGGAAACACTCGACCATGGCATGCACAGGCACTACCGCCAATGACTTTACTGCTCCCTTATGGGGAGCGAATTCGTGTCAACCCGACTAGTTACATTCAGTAATCAACCCAAAACCCATTCGAACTTGAGTTGCTGACCAGAAAGTTTCGGTATTTTCCGCTGTGCTGGACGGATCATGACAGCACAGGTATTCCGGTGTTCTGTTTGAACCGGCAGCAACGTCTTGACGTTGCTCATCGGAGGAAAGTGTCTGGCAGACCCCCAATGCAGCTTTTCCGTGTAGTTGCGTAATCGTTAGTCCTGATTCAGGCCTATGACTCAAAGTGTTATCTTCACAAGAATAACAATAGCAACAATGATGATAGAGATTGTAATACCGCTTGATGGTTTCTATTAGAAAGAACAATGTGAATACAATGACAGTTTATGGATTTAAGTGTGATATTTACCTTTCTGCATCAGCGCTCCGAAAGTGTACCATATGCTGTTCAGCATGTCGAATTTGTTCTCAAGTACGTTTGAGTTCAGGTTGCATGGGTGGTCGGCCTTCCATTCGTATGGGCTGAACCGGGCGACAACGAACAGAACCAAACTAACCATGATAGTGGCAGCCAGAATATAGCCCCATACCTTGGAAAAAGAATATGAGAAATCTTCGTGACCTCTTGTAGCTCAAGTGAGCTAAATTATTAATCTTCCAATGTTTTTGACATGTTTAGAGGAGAAAACTTGTTAGCCTTCCACTTGCGTGTTTGACCGCAGCAAATTACCTCGTACGAAAGAACAAACAAGATGCTTAATATTTCATCAACTCGATGCACACGGACAACCCTACATCCTGCACGACCAAGCAGAGTGCGATGCTTAAGCAGATATTCCTACCTGCCACAGTTTCTGGCAGCGAAAATGAGGAAAACATACGAAAACTTTGTCTTGTATACTCCGAAAATACTTTTAGTTGAGGGTCAAATTGCAACCCTGAAACGTGGTATTTATTTACAATATCCGTCCTAATGGTGCCCCATCCAAATGTCGGATAGATTTTGTGGAAACAGTCGTTGCGCCACAGGACTGTCCTAGATTATTGAAGTTGGTAAACGGTTTTGTTGCCCTTCGTTACGATCACGTCAGTAACATTCACATGATTGTTTTTGATAAATAAAGACCGTCCCTATTACTGATCAGCTGTATGATGGGTAGGTGGGAAAGTATCGAACGCACATTGGTGAATGCTGTAATAACTGCTGACCAGTCATTCGTGACGGAATGTTCAAGTTTTCAACTACAAACCGAAAGACTGGTGGTTCGAATCGTCAATGGGGATTTGTGGGTCGCACAAAGTGGGTGATTCCCAGTAATTTCAAGTACTGTCTTACTCTGAAGCGTTGACCGATTTCACATGTAGGATGTGATCTCAACGTAGAAACGGTCGACAATACCGGAGATGATCATGAACTCAATGTAAGGGTTTTGATCAGTCATTCATCCATTAAAAAAGTCACAAAGGCGTAGGGCAATGGTCATTTTAGCTAAGCTAAAGGAAAACTTTGTAGTAAACTGGTTAAAAAACACAAAATACAACGTACAATTATGTAAGATGCTGTACGTAGCTCATAAAGAAGTATACTTGCTGTGACTTTGTGTCATACTGTGCTCGTTTCGTAAACCAACAATCGCAAATCATGTCCTTTTAGGACATTTTACAACATCGTATCTGTCGCTAACAGAATGGACCTTATCGTTGTGCGATGGTTTGCATACCGAAGTAACCCACTGAATTTTGTTGAAGGATGGCCATGCAAGGTACACAGAAACACTCCTATCAGACTGGCCAATGGATAGGTGTCTGACAAACATGACCTTCCGATCTTCCAGGTTGAAGTTTGGAACCAGTGTGATAATGTGTTCTTTGAAATTGGAGCTACCCGCGTAGTTTGAAGCCCACCACTGCGGCCTTGCGGTCAGGTTTTTGAGTCAAAGTTTTTAATTGAGAACTTTCCTCCTGTCTAAGTTCAAGCGCCCCCAACAGTATCTCAACACGCATACAACCATGAACTTTTAGAGTAACAGTACCTTTATGCCACATATTATATGTAACAGATGGGCACCATTACATATGGCCAGTATATTGATTTCAATAAAGATGACAACTATGGCTTTGTATTCGTCCTGAATAACTGTGTATGTGTACTATGTATGGGTAAAACTCATCACTATTCTCAGTTTGGGTTAATTTATTCGTACACTCGACTGCCTGGAACGGCAGAGACTCGTATACGCTTGATCAGCTACACTCAAAATGTCAACAATGAGAAAGATTCACCCGAGTTATTACCATATGCTGCGCATCCGGCTTAAGCATAGCATTGTATACACAAACATTTGTTTAACCTGTCAACAAACAGGCTGTGGTTCCAGAGATTAGACAAAAGGCTTTTGGCTCACAGTTTGGATCGTGCCTAATTCCTCGGATATTTGCCTGAGATACCTTGGGGTTCCCGTATCTGTGTCCGAATGGCACAACACCAGTGACGTAGAATAAAAGCCGAAATAGATAGAGGAACATTTAACACCTCTCAATTCTTCATGATTTGAGATGAGACACTGGATCTCTTGCGACTCTTCTGACAAGTTAGGTTTTTATATACAACTCTTGCATTTAATTAGCCGGTATCAGTTTCCAACTGATTCCCCAGTAAGGGGTTTCGGATAGGATTGTATCATTAGTTTCTAGTATTTTTCCCCTGAATGTTTGTTCCGTCACCAGATCACTGATGCTGAACGGCTGAACGTACACCCTAAGAAAGTACTAAAGGAAAAATAGTACTTTTCGTGACCATTTATAGTTGAAGAAAAGGATTAGTTCTTGGTCTGTGGGTAACTTCATTAGAAAACAAGAATGCCATTGTTGGAGAAATCACTCGAAGAGATAACTGAAAATAGAAGGTAAAATCAAGCAAGAGGGAACTATAAGATGACCTTCTATCGAATTCGATGCATTCTTTTCAGTTTAGTTGAAGACCCTAGGATTCCGTGTGCAATGCTTTTGTCGAGTGTCCAAGTGACATCGTCACCAACGCTTCTCCATCTCTAGCTCAGGTCAACCAAAAACCCAGTTTGAAGATCATTGGTGTCTACAGTATCGCTCACTTGGTATATTGCTGTGTCATAGTTTGGGTGATTTAGATCAGGGTTGAAAATTGGCCAGTCCAGCATCTTGACGCTGTATAGTAGAAGTCAGTTCATGAGGATTTGAGAGTTGTAAACCAGCGCTTTGGCTTAGTTTAAATACCACGCGCTCCTGTCCACCTGTAGGCGAGAATGTTAGTATTTAGCTTGCCAGTAGCTGAATCTATTCAACATTGTGCTGTCTATACAAATGATGATTCACACATTTCATGAGGTGAGAACTCAGTCCAAATGGACAGCTGTCGACTCGCACCGATTCAGTCCGCACAGGTGTCATGATTCGGTTATGTTATCCATCGGTGAAGAGTTTCGTCCAGTGCACTCTTTTGTCCAAGTCGGATACTGGGAATTGGGAATACGGAGTGGCTAAGCGTCCAATAGTGAATAGGTTCAGATCCTGGGACGCCAAGCTTTATCATTCATGGTTACTAGTGGACAGGATTCCAAACCAGTAACTTGCAACTTTTGAATCTTCAGGAGCTGTAACATAGCGTACAGATGCTGAACTAGTTATTATTAGGACCTAACCTGAACGCGACTTATCCACACTGCGATACAGAAATATGTCAAATGGGAAATTCGGTGGACGTCATTGAAGCGTTGGTAAAGACGTCAACTGGACAGAGAACATCACAGACGTTTTTAGTTGAATCTAGTGTATTTCGGTGACAAAATATTATTAATATACTAACGTCCTGTTGGTGAGTCGTCCTTGTTTCCAAATTTTCTGTGTCGTTGAATTAGTTCTTTGTATGAATTTCCTTGTAGATTCCCGTTTTACATCCCCAAGTCACCCACTGACAGGAAAGAAGTAAATTTCTCCTCACGAGAACAAAGTGATGGTGAAAGACATGAGTGGTCCTGTAGCTCCGTCGTGGACTGTGTGTTAAGTCAGATGAGTGAGTTGTATGGATCCTCATGGAACGGCGGATTATATGGCATACAAAAGGAGAACTCAGACAATTCGGAATCTTCAGATAACATGATGCTAATATTTCAGCATATCTCACAGATTTCCATCCGCACCGTCGTATATCTGGGTATGCAGCTCCAGTCTCACGTAGACACCACAGAACAATCGGCTTATGTGACTCCATTAGCAAACAAATTACGCAAGGTTTCAGTTGGATTGTAATAGTGACCGTATTTTGTGGTGGTATTGCTAATTTGAACTGATGCAGAAGAAGAACTGATGCTCGAAAAAAATTCAAATGAACTTGTAAGACAAATAATGGATGGAAGGTCACGGCTATCCATCCTGGTTAGGCCATCAATAAAACAACCTAGATATCTTATTTGTCAAGTAAAGCAGATACTTCCAGTTTAAGTTTGACTACCACATTGTACATAATCACAATTCTTTGCTATTTTGGTATTTTGGAACACTGAATTATACGTCAAACCAAGGTGTATAAAAACTCACTGGTGCTGATAGTGGTTGAAGGAACGAAAACAAACTTGCTTCCTTATCTTCTATTCGTTTGTAGATGATGCTGATACCAAGATACATAAATGGCGTGGTGAAATCAATGACGCGTTCACGATCGTAGGTGATAGTGAATGACCCGACTGCCAAGTCTGCTTTCTGGTAGGAGGAGCGGTACAAGGGTAAGAGGAATTACATATACAAAGCATGTAAATGTGTGAACTTAGTTCGGTTCACCCATAATGGTATATTTCGGGGCACGAACTGGTTCACCAGAACGGTGCCCTCTTCAATGATTGTTTTATTTGGAATAAGAGAATAATTTGGTCCTAAAAACTTTTATGCTAGCTTTATTCGCCAGCCCGTTCGGCTATGTCGTCCTGTTGTGCCTATATGTAATTTCTTTGTATACAATATAGGTCACGGAATAGAATTTTCTGCTGGGATTCCTACAAAGGATACGTGAACCGGGCATCTCGTTAGTCGCCTTTTGGCTATACGAGCTTTAGTACAGTTGAAAATGGCTTGAGTGTGACTGCGATGTATCTCGTTAATCAAGCTCCGATAGGATGACCGAGGCACTGCAACCAACTACATATGGTCCTTGGTCCTTTGATCACTGGGAGTCTAGCTGCGACTACCAATCTTTCCAGTCGCAGTCAAGCAGGTCAGTTGTTGTATCAGCCGAGTAAAGTAACCAGCGCAACTCGATTACCAGTGGAAGACAAGTGGCGGCTAGCATTTAGTTATTCCCTGCTGAACTTGATAGAACTTCGGCTGATTAGTGCACACTTTGGACACCATTAGGAGACACCAATGGGAGAGTTGCAACATCTACGAAAAGCTGCACATCGAGCGAACTGGAAGTGTCTACGATTCAATCAATTTATCTACCTCTCATTCTGGTATTAAAAATTCCCTCCAATGATGTGGATTTATTGTTTACGTCCAGAAAATAGTATCACTGTGACGGTTCATGAAAACTTCTAAAGTCTGGTTATATCAGTTCGATCAAAACTTTCTCCCCTTATCACAACCCCACCATTGACAAAAGAAACTCAATTGATCCTGGTACACCCACCCAATGGATTTCAATCAGGATGAAACGTATAGTAAACTGTTTCTAAGCCTTAACATATTCTGACCCGATAAATTACATCAACTGCAAGTTTCGGGGGGGGGGGTTAGTACACATAATATCGTTTAAGGGAATTGTATAAAGTTAAAAAACGATTGCTGCAAGGTGATTGCATTTTTGACCAAGAAACCAATCCTACTTTTTCCCGGTTGCATACCGAAAGGTTGGCAATTTCTGCTTGCTGTTGCTTGCAATCTCCTGAGTGCACCCTGTATCACTCCTATGTTTATCATGAGTGAAGTCCCTTCCGGTGGCAAGACAAAGTGGTACGAATTCTTTGAAGTTAGTAAAGACCCGCAGTGACATCTATTATATTGTCATCTTTACAACACTGCACTCAAGAAAAGTTGGTTTATCGTCGGTTTAGTCCTGTGATAACATGATTACATTTGCCTAAACTGTCAGTGCAAATAGCATCATCGATCTACGAAAATCATGGATGAATACCATGAGAACGATGCACAAGTTATGTGCTTCTACACCGCAGATATTGTGCAGCTAATGTTTTGATTTTATATTCAATAAGTCTTTCTGATTCTCAGGTTTACTTTGTACATTCTAATTTCTCCACTCATGCAGTTTTATTATTTTGGTCGCAATCTGCTCGAATAATATTCTGGTCGTTGGGCAGCTGAGATGTGGCATCGTGAGAGAAAACATCGGTTGTTAAATCCTAGAAAAACTGTTTATGTAACGATAAAATGACTGAAGTAAATAGATGTGAGCTTTGCAAAAAGTCGTACTAATCGAAAACGAATTACCTTCTGCTAATGTAAACGTTTGTCACTCGGTTGTTGGTTAAACGGAATAGTTGTACATGATATGTTGGGGTCTCCTTTGGACAGGTGCAAATTACTGGGTGAAAATTAAACACGGATTGGTAGTTTAGAACAACCAGTGTTTTACACCCCATTCTGCGACAAATTTCGGGAGGAAGATTTGCCCCGAATTTTTACCCATATTATCGTGATTCTGTTCATCAAACCACATTCGTTTTGTGTTCAATCACTTAATTCGGTCTCAGTACTGAGAAACGGTAAACACGATGGTCAGAGGAAAAACGTGTACTGGGAGTCTACTGTTCTGCTGACGATTCTGCGTGTTTGAAAAAAGGCAAAACACTAATAGTTGATCTTGTAGAACTTCAATGGTTACTCTGGCGGAAGATAATCATAGCCTAAAGCACTAGTCAAAAGGTTATTGTAACTTCTTCAACAGTCCACGACCGGTTTCGCACTTCCTGGGGCTCATCAGGTTAGCGCAGTCGTCGGGTTTTCGTCAACCTTATGTTCTACTTGAAACCGAACCGCATGAAAGTAGCGAAATATACTCATTATTTATAGCTTGTTTTCACAGAACTGGATCGGTTTCGGTGGAAAGCTAACTTATAAAGACTAATAACTCAACGAAGTGGCAGTGGCGCATCATCGCATAAGCAACTTCGGTTCCGGTATAATTCGGACAAATACCTGCCGCTTTCGATGACTAATGTCATGCCAGCGAACTGAGAAAAGACTTCTGTGAAATCGGTTGATCCTGTCACATTGTTGTTGTCCCGACAAGTGATGCTCTGGGCTCGACCAAATAAACTCAAATCTAGTCAGTCTTCTTGCATCAGCAGTGTCAGCTCTGGTGTTTGCGGCCAACGGATTAAAGTGGTTGTTTGCGTAAAATGGATTTTGCTGTTTAGTTGGAGTGTTCTTGTTAAGAGAAGGAGAAGAAATTTTGGAAGTTTGAGTGTGGTTAAACAGCGGAACCGTATTAAACTTTGACTTAACAGACTACATGCTTAAATATCGTTCAGCTTAACCAAAGATGAGCTAATTATGTACCTGCTAACCTATGGTAGATCAGTAGTTTAGGGTCTCTGAGGGTTAGATGCGCACATTCTTCCGGTTCTTGAGACTGGCAGCAGAACACTTCTGAGGACCTGTCCCACAAAACGTAGACCATACTGATGGCCTTACTCCGATTGTCCCTGCCTTGTGCTCAGTAGTTGGAAACGAACACTTTGGATTCATATTTGGATTATCTCCCTGTCCCGATTTAGATGGCTTTACATGACCAATGCGGAAAAATGTAGTCTCACAACTCATTAATTGATGACTTTAGCCTCAGTGCGATGGTCTTTGTGTTTGGCGGGACAGATAGATGAACATTTGCTCCCTGCAATGCCTTCAAACTTCTTCATTAGTATGAAAATCCAGTACTCAAGAACCGCTTGCACAAATCTGTTCATTAGATAGACGAAGCCCAAGAACACTAGGGGTATAGTACTGATAGAATAATATGACTGGTATCCTTTTATAAGAGATCACATGCAATTCAATTCTGCTTCATCTGCATCCCAAGGTTTTCTAAAAATCCTAAATTTCCAAATGAAAATCGTTACTTTTAGATTCAATAACACTTCAATGAGACCTGGCCGAAATTTCATAGTGTTCTTCTGTAGAGGTTCGAATTCAGAAACTGGACTTATATCTTCACTTTGTACGAAAGTTCTACCAAAGGTCTACTACTAAGCATCTTTCTTCATAACTTACTATCTAAGTACGCCAGGACCGAAGGTCGCCATTGTTTGTGAGGTAAAAACTAACTTGATTAAAAATAAAAGTTCTATACGGCAAACTTTCAGCGAAGTGCACGCCAGCTGATGCTTAATGGAGTTCAAGTACAGTGGAACAGCCTACCTGAAGGTGTTCTGGTACCAAATATTCCCCTTCCTAATTAGAATTCGTTTTCCTAAATTTGTCAGCATACTTTGTGGTGGGAGTCCAAAAACAAGCCAAAAACAAGTCCAAAGCCATGCCTGTTGACCGAATTGTGAAACGCATTCACACTAAAACCCGAAGGGTGCATCCCGTCATCCGTATCTGAGACAAAATTAAGCCATTGGACATACAAAGTTCTATTATCATTTGCATCGCTGATAAGAAGCCGTTTGGACACTTTAGGTTACAGCATTGCCCCTCAATAAAATATACCTTATGCGACAGAAAAAGAGCCTGGTCCATGTGTACACAACGAAAAGGCTACTGAATTTTTTCAACTTTTCCATTTAGTCTCATATTAGTTCGTCTCAAACAGAAACCATATTTACGTTGTCGTCGCCTAATGCTTATTCAAAACGAAATATTCGGGACATAAAGAATCATCCCGCAACAATGGTCACTTGTATCGGATGACACCTTTATGTTCTGGCAAACATGTGAGCTACAATTTAGGGTGACTGATGAATATGAGTTTGTTTATCAACTACCACGTGTTAGTAAAAGCTAGATACAAGTGAGGACATCGAGGGTTTGCTTAATTTATTTGTTGAACAGAAATGGTGTGACGGTAATTACAATTCTTCAACCCATGGTATCTGCTAGAGAAAGAAGGCGGCTGTAATGTTCAACAAAGTCAAGCTGGGTAAGGCTGAGATTTGTGCATCACGAGTTATTGACTTTAGTTGGCTGACTCTCTTCAACCTCTGAATTGCAACTATTCCTCGTCCAACCATAAGCGTGAACGTGATATTCTTAAATCAACCATCGTTCTATGTAGAAATAACTCACTCTTGTTCGCAGCTCTTGAACCATCCCGTCCCAAACTTCTTCACCGTCAATGATTTTTGCATTACCGTACGTTGAATCTGGTACTAAATTGATTGTATATGTGAAGTTCAACTCTTTGCCGATTTCGTTCAGGAGATCGATACAAAACCCACGCCAATCTTTTGGGTCAGTGGACTTTGGTTCTCCAGAGGACACATTGCCTTTGTACATCATGTAAGGCTTCTCCTGAAGGCACGAGACATAAGATGGACGTTAGCAGATTCTTTTAAGAGAACAAGCATTTGGCAAACGATTTTAACGAAACAAAACGGTGGACCAGTTAAACATGCTTTTCGCGTTCTACTATTTTGCTTAAAAGTACATCGAAAGGCATTCATTTTGGTGTGGTACCGGTGGTATGATGTTCTAGTAGTGCACATCTGATTATGCGTCTAGTTAGGAACTGTTCTTTTTGTTTTAAAACACACAATCTCAGCCATTCATAAGCTATAACATTCAGCGAATTCCATAAAATTAATATCAAAACATTGAAGAAGTTAGTGCCACTAACTGGGAAATGGGGTCACCTTCATTGCAGTTACGATGACCATCAAACTTCAGTGTCAAACCCTGGTCTCAGAGGGTGCTGTGAGTGAATAATTCCCCATAGGTCACTGTGGTAAGACAGGTGGGCTAGTGAACTGGTATTTCGTTTGTCCCATTATCCTTGAATCCCGCTAACCTGGTGGTCTCGTTTGCCGTGTGATCTTTTGTGGGCCTAGCCGCTTTGGTCCGGTCGTAGCAGTTCATGGTTACGAGCTCCTATTTTTTACACACACAAAATTAATATATGCATTACTTATGTTTTAAATAATCGTTACTTAAATGAGAAGAATGGCAGGTTACAACGGTGGATTGTACAGGATAACAACAACTAGATTTGCACTCATTCAATTAAATATAATTTAATCGTTTTGTTTAGTGCAGTTCCGTATTTTCATCCAAACCAACGCTAAACAGCGCTTCTTGGCTTTTCACTTTAGATTAGCTTCATCTACAGGACGAAGTCTGCGCTAAAAACTTCAACCTATAGGTGAAGAGGAATTTCAAGCATTTCAAGGCCACAATTTACGTGAAGTAAGCGCTTCACGGTTTAGGAGATACGGAATAAAAATCGGACGGCAACAAAAAAACAATGGACAGTGTAATGCTAATTTCCGGATATTGCTGGTTAGATATTTGACATGTTTTCCAAATGAAACTGATGGATTGCTGTCTGGTCAACCAAACAATAATCCGGTTTGAAAATACGTTGTTTCAATGGAAAAAGTCTTTAATGCCTGGCTTAAGGTGGCGCAAACTGATCAGGTATTATTGCATTTCTTGACAAACCAATCATTGTGGCTAATTTCATGACTTTATTTGACTGCACAGCCGTCAGATGTAATGCTTGACATCATTTCCTTTCAACTTTCGGAGAGAACAAAGGTCTGCTCAATAGGCTACAATGTATTCAGCTACACTGACAAGCTTTTAATTTAGAGTTACTTAGGGGAATAAGGTCAAAACTTGTATTCCTTCACAACGTATTAACTCAAAGTCACTCGCCCAGTTGCTAGAGAACGATGTTGAAATCTTCGATCATTCTTTGGACAAACCAGGAATAATAGATAAGGCATCCTGTACCCTCCGTTCGATAAGAAAAATCCATCTAATATTTTCCAGCAGGGAACTGTCATTTCTTCGCAAAATGATCATGACCCCCACAGATAGTCTGTGTTACATGGTATGAATTCAATAAAAGGAGGGTAACTTGACACGCTGCTAATAAATTTGGCGAGAACTAATGAAGATGGTATGTAGTACATTGGTTACTAGGATTTCCGAGTGTCCGCTTTCTGAACTTCATTTGCAGTCTCTGGTTCCTATGTAATTAATGCCGTGCATGGCCACGAAAGTGGCTTTTGCGCTGAAGTACCTGTATCGATTTGATCTACCGTGCTCTACATTACTCCTAAGGGAACTAGTAAATGTCTCCTGCAAACGCTAAGGACCAATTTACGAGATCTGCCAACATAGTGTTCACTCCATAGAAGCTTCCATTGCCAGCAACACAATGCTTTCAGTGAAAAATATGGAGTTGCATCAAAAGTTCACGGGATGGATACGAAGTGAAATATCATGACAAAATCGGAGTGTGAATTTAGGATGGTTCAGATGAAATAATTGCAGATCTTCATATGAAGTGACTGTAAAGATGGATGGACATTGCATACTGAGCATTTTTACCGTCAAAATGACCTCTTTTGTGGAACAGTAGTCTTCAAAGCAGTGCTAAACTTCGGCTCAAATAGTTGCACACATTTTTGGGTACTTTTGAGTAGCTTAGTGAATTAGACACTACCACCTGAGCATCTCATGGGCTGGGGATTGCAGCAGGCCGCATACCACATGGCATAGATGACGTTTTTGTCTCAGCAACCTGATTAAAAACCTCTTTTTGAATAAAAGTCAAATATTTCCATCGTTTGAATTTCTCCAAGAATTCTCCGCATTTTATGGCCTTCAAATGATCCTCCTCACATGGGGTTTCTCTGCGTTCCGTCCGGTTGAAGTATATAGTACGAAGGGGTTGGTTTCAAAAATAAAGTGATTTTCTTCTCTCCATGTCATCTAATGTTCTCTAGAAGGCCAATACTATGAATAAACTCGATAGCGTCTTTAGACCGCAACGTTAAAGAACTGTAAACCACGCTATTCTTTGTATAAGGTCCAAATATCGAACATGTTTTTCCATCCAACACACGAACGAAATGGCGCGAACCGGCCGAATTCGGTGAAGTGCTACTGACAAAAATTAAAAGGTAAACTACTGGCCTTGCAGGAAAGCAAACGCACCGCAACTTAAATATTCTGCAACCAGAAAAAAGAACCTATCTTTGGCTGAGTAACTTCCTGGTTTCAAATTGCATGAAATGTTCATATGGAGCGATTTGATGTTTTTTATGGCTATCTCGATATAGCATGCTTATTCTACATCGAAGTACATTTGTTTCACATTGCTCCAGATTCGTTTGCCACTAAATAAATAAATCCTAATTTGTCCTGCATAATAAAAGTTCAGTCCATTTAGAGACTTCTCTTTGGTTGACTGGATGTGTAGAAATTTATATTACAATCAGCTTATTGAAAAACTTGAATGATACCATCGAGAACGCTTCATTTCATTATTACGTTTGCCAACTGCCTATGTATTCCTATCTTTACTTGAAGTTGTCAAGATGTAAGTGATTTTTTATCCACCAAACAACTCAGGCACCAAAGTTCATATAATATTTTTTTAAAAACTTCCTACCACATTATTATTCCAGCACGCATCGAAAAGTACACTACATAAATGGGAACGTTAATGAAGGAGAAGAATTTTATAAGGGGAGTGGCTATCGCAAGCGGAAGGTTTCATTACCTTAGAACTCACCTCTTTTGTTGTTATCCTCAGAACTTTTCCTTTCAATTCAGTTTGCATTTCCTGCAGTATCTGACTGAAGTTTCTGGTGACTGTCAGTCCCTCTTCCATGTTCCAATAACCAAACTTTCAATGATAAAGAATACTGGGTAAACTGAGGCACATTTAAGATTCTGCAAAGTATAAATTGTAGTTTGATGAATCAGTTTTTCACAAGTGGAGCCAATTGCAGAGGAAATATATGACGACATTTTGTTCCCTATCCATCAATTGAAGTTACCGAGATCAAAATCAAGCGCATAATAAGGCTAGTCGGGTCCGCCATTCCAAGCAGACTGCATAACGATGGGATAGGATTATTTCTTTCTAACTAATAAACTCACTTGGCCGGAGTTGAAAAAGATTATGGTATTAATTCCTATGGTGGTGGAATTCTTCAAGTTAACTTTCGTGTGGCCTGTTTTGTTTAAGCAGAACGAACCGTCAGCTATGTGTACATGAACCTTATAAGACTTGGGCCAAGAATTAATCGGAGGCGTGTCGCATTTAAACCTGATATTTAGTTCTACCTCCCGAAAGTTGCTGGTGTCTTTCAATGTCCGTTTACTTAGAGACAAGTTAGTAGTATGAAAAATTACCAACTTTTCTGTGGGTGCTTTTTCTGGGCAATAGATGAAATAATTTCAGGTTCGAATATTTGCCACTATTTTTCGTCACAGATAAGCCGAACTTTTCAACCTCTGTAGTTAAGCTATTCGACTCGCAAAACTCTGCCCAAAAGCGAGGATGACGTCTATGGAAGAATTTGTGCGATCCATGAAGAGAAGGCGCAGATCCGTAGATGGAAGACAAATAACCGGTAGTTTTTGTCCCATATATATATATATAT